CTTCTGGCCTCTATACTTCTCCATCAACACTCTCAAAGAAAATATTTAATTTTCAATTTCAATTCAGGGAGGAACGGCCATCTGCCACCACTGGTTAGAGAAGGAAGACAAGATAAAAGACATGCTGTGGAGCGAGCCAGAGATTAATCACAAGTATGATTCAATGCAGAGAGGTGCATGGACACACAATGAGTGAGAAAAGTGACTGAAGAACAAATAGTCAGTGTATCACATCTCTTTTGCTCTTTCTTGGCATGAAACAATAATGCTGCTCACTGATCATCCACTTCAACAATTCTTTCCCATTACCTTCATTATAGTTTAATGATATGACTGAGAAGGTACCGAAGATTAGCTTCTTGGATGTGGGAAGATTCCCGGTGCCTACGACCAATTCATCTACTGTCACCTGGTGCCGACGCTACACTTCAGTTCCCAACCCGGAATCTATGGTCCGATGGCCCCATGTTCACCTTGCGTCCCTCGTTCGACCGCAGTTTTGATGGCAGATGTGACGTACCACTATGGATATTAGCTTCAGCTAGCCCTGAAGTCACCGCCTGGTGTAACAGGTGCACACAGGTGTTTAATTCAAGTGCCACTGCAGTCAGCTGTTGAGTGCACCAACCAAACGTCATCAATCAGGTTTGCCCTGCTCAACACTCGCTCAATCACAAACAAATCGTTTATTTTAAACGATCTTTTTATAAAGGAATCTCTCAACGTCATGTGTTTAACTGAGACGTGGCAACAAAACGTGGATTATATACATCTGAAGGAAATTTGTTCGACTGGCTGCTCCGTCATCGGAACTCCACGTCTTTCGGGACGTGGCGGAGGTCTCGCTGTTGTGCACCAGGACAGATTCACATGCAGACTGATGAACTCGGATTCCTTTACCTCATCTGAACTGCAGATGATCAAGGTCGGCTCTTTGCTCACCTTTTATTGTATTTTAATCTACTGACCTCCTGGCCCTGCCGGAGTCTTTTTAACTGAATTTAATGACCTCCTGTCATCCATTATTAAATTAGAGAAGGTGGTAATGTTGGGAGATTTTAACCTTCATATTGATGATACATCCTGTAATATGGCTGCTGACTTCATGACTATCACAGAGTCTTTTAACTTTATGCAGCATGTTTCTGGCCCTACACATGTAAAGGGTCACACATTGGACCTTGTTTTCTCCTTGGGTTTAAATATAAATGACATTCGTGTGGAAGATGTCCATGTGAGTGACCATAGCTGCATATATTTTAACTTAACTTTAACCCAAAATAACGATTGAAAGGCGAATCATAAACCTGAACGCCGGCAAAAGGTTCTCTGTCATGTTTGACGCTGAAATGACTTACAATGATTTGGACTCTCTTGTCTCATCCTTTAATAACCAGTGTAATTCTATTTTAAACATAGTGGCACCTCTGAAAAAAAGTACTGTCATACGTTTGAAATCTCATCCTTGGATAAATGAAAACATTCGTAATTTCAGGAGATACTGTCGCAAGCTGGAACGTTTGTGGAAGGCTTCCAAGCTTGAGGTTTATAAGTTACACCTTAAAGAATCTATCGTCTTACTAAATGACATGTGGAAAAATGCTAGAACAGAGTATTTTTCACACTTCATAGCTTCAAAAAAGAAATACCCCAAATTCTTGTTTAAAACAATTAAGAGCATTGTTTCTCCTGATGCTCCTTGTGCACCAGTTCACTCAACGTCCGAATGCAATGAGTTTATGAACTATTTCAGAAATAAGGTCATTGCCATCAGGTCTAATATCTGTCCATCATCTTCTCAATATCAGACTTTCAACTTGCTCTCCTCTGATACTTGGTCCTCTTTTACTCCTGTTACATTACAAGACATCAGAGGCCTGCTTTGTCATATAAAACAGACTTCAAGCCCCCTTGATGCCCTTCCATCTTCACTTTTCACTAGTGTATTTGATTCCATTGGCCCCTGTATTGTGGAAATGATAAATACTTCTCTTCATACTGGCTCAGTCCCCAGCTTCTATAAAAACAAGCTATTGTTGAGCCAATATTAAAGAAACCCCAGCTGGATCCATCTCTTCCTAACAGTTATAGGAAAATATCCAAATTGTCTTTTATATCGAAAATTTTAGAAAAAGTAGTAGTAGAACAACTTAACTATCTCCTGGATAAAAATGCTGTTATGGATACTTTCCAGTCTGGTTTTCGTAAATTGCATTCCACTGAAACGGCCTTACTTAGAGTATCTAGTGATATCTTGATGGCAGCAGACTCTGGAGAACACCGTGCTGGTCCTGTTGGATCTCAGCTCTGCTTTTGACACTGTAGATCACAGTATCATGATAAACAGACTCGAGAACTTGTTTGGGATTACTGGTGTTGTTTTAAAATGGTTTATATCATATCTGTCTGAGAGATCTTTTACTGTTTGCATGAATCATGTCACATCAGAATCAACAGTTTTGCCGTGTGGGGTACCTCAGGGATCTGTCCTGGGTCCAATTCTATTTCTACTTTATGTATTTCCCCTAGGCCAAATTATTAAGCACTATAAATATATCTCCTATCATCGCTATGCTGATGACATCCAACTATACTGTTCCTTCAAAATGTCTGAGTTTTATAAATTGTCTAATTTAAGTAATTGCCTGACAGAAATCAACCAGAATCAGAATCAGAATCAGAATCAGAATGGGTTTATTGCCAGATGTTGAGGTTTACAACATTAGGAATTTGCTGCGGTGCTTCAGTGCAAACAATAAGAATTAAAGTGCTATGTAGAAAGAAAGATATGTGCATGAGATATACATGAGATATATACATGAGAATAAGAATTAAGAGTGCTACGTAGAAAGATGCTACGTAACCAATGGTTAAATGACAATTTTCTCCAACTAAACTCTGATAAAACAGAAACTCTAATTATTGCTCCAGACCACATGGTCCCAGAAATCAGGCAGCATATCAGCTTCTTAGACCCCTATGTAAAATCGAGCCTTAGAAACCTCGGTGTTGCTCGAGCAGCACTCTAAGCAGCTGGTCCGAAACTGTTTTTATCATTTACGGAATATTTCTAAACTCAGACTAACGGTATCAAAGCTTGAACTTCAGATGATTATTCATGCTTTTATTTCTTCTCGTTTAGACTACTCTAATGGCCTTTTTACTTGTTTTAACAAATCAGCCTTAAATCGTCTTCAGACTGTGCAGAACGCTGCAGCACATCTCTTAACAGGCACCAAGAGAAGATCGCATATCACTCCAGTTTTAGCCTCCCTTCACTGGTTGCCTGTAAGTTTTAGGTTTCATTTTAAAATTTTAGCTCTAACCTTTAGGGCCCTACATGGTCAGGCTCCTCAATATTTATCTGACCTGCTGAAACCACATACATCTTCTCGGGCTTTAAGGTCATTAGATCAGAGACTGCTGGTGGTACCGCGCACTCGTTTTAAAACTCGTGGTGATCGGGCCTTTCAGACTGTGGCACCACGGTTGTGTATTTCTCTTCCACTGTATCTTCGCTGCACGGACTCCATTGATTCTTTTAAGAAACAGCTGAAGACATTTTTATTTAGAAAAGCATTTGATTAATTTCCTCTTATGCTGTTTTGATAGTTTTATTATATTACATTGTTTTATTTGCTGTTTTATTTACTGTTATATTGTTTTATATTTCCATTTTCTGTGTTGTAAAGCACTTTGTGATTTTTTTTATCTGTGAAAAGTGCTATAAAAATAAATTTTACTTACTTACTTACTTACTTAGTTCTTGGTAACAAATTGCTGTCACTGGCTCTTCACTCTGAACTGGCTTTCATGTGTATTATGTAAAGTTATTTAAAATTAGAGTTTAGTGAACAGCTCATGCCCTCCCTTTGGATGCAACTCCTGACCACATTGCACTTTATACTGTTATACGACAGAACACAAATTCATTTTCAGAACATCACAGAAATATGTATTCAGCTGTTATGTTGTTATCTTTGAGATTTTTTGAACATCTATGTCACGGTCCTGGGTCTTATGACCCAGTGTTTTGAGTTTTAGTTCATTTTGATGTTTATAGTTTATGTTAAGCCCTTCAGGTTTTCTAAGTTCATTTGTTACCATGTCTAGGTGATTTTAGTTCTTATTAATTCCCCTCGTGTTTCCAACCCATGTTAAGTCTCCCCTGCTCTTCTTGTGTTTCATGTCTGTGTCTTACGTTGTCAAGTTCTGGTTGTCATGTCTGCGTTTCATTATGTTTCCTGTTTTATTTTGGAAGGAGTCGTGTGTTCTTGGTTCTTTGTATTTAGCTTCACTGCTCCTGTCATTAGGTTCATGTTAGTCAGCTGTTTCCTCATGTGTCTCCACTTCCCTGATCACCTCATGTGTGTATTTAAGTCCTCTGTTTTTGCATGTCATTTGTCAGGTCGTCTGCTCATCCATACCCTCACTTCAGCATTCTATGTCAGTTCACCACGTTTAAGGTTTTTCATGTTTAGCTTTAGTTCACCCAGTTTAGGCTATGGTTTAGTGTTCACCTGTGTCCTGCTGTTGTACTCCCTTTTTGCTGGCCTCAATAAACGGCTTATTTTCTGTTAAATCTACGCCACGTTCAGTTTATGGAGTTGGGTTTGGGTCCTTTTGCCAACACCTACGGTCTGCCCCAGCCAGACCGTGACAATCTAGCTGCTTTGTCTTTTCTCTGTGTTTGTCTGAATCAGTGTGGTGGAAAACAGAGACACTTTATGTACTGACAAGTTTATTTTTATTGAATTTCGGATTATTATTTTGCAGTTTACAAAAGATGACAAACTTTCACTGATTTGTTAGATAAAAGTGTATAAAAACGTTTAAATAGTTCAGAAATAATTCCTTGTTTCCTTGTTTGAATGCTGATTAATATGAAATCAAGAAGAAAACACACAAAAAATGCAGTTTATAACTGTGTTCATGCCCTTATGTGTGTCTTTGCACACACCAAAATAAAAATCCCACTTCCAATTACTTTATTTCCTGACCTAATACAGGAACGTCTGCTGGTTTTGGATTAGGTTCATCCCTGTCTCCAGTAGCTTCTGTACCTGACTGTCATTTTGCCTGCTGTTCTCAAAGAGAACACACCTGTTGTCACATTTCTGAATTATTGCTTTCAGCTCAGGTTGACAGGTACGTAGGAAATCCTCAAACTTCATTTCTGCCTGCCGCAGGTCATCTCCTCTGGTGAACAGGATAATTGTTTGTTCTTTAACTTTGCTTGCAAAAGCTTTTTCTAGCTTTTCTATTATGTTTCTCTCACCATTTGTAAATCTGCTTGCTTGCATCACAAGTACATACACACAAGGTCCTGACTCACAAAGCTGTTTGCACTTTTTTACATGTTTGTCCCTAACTGACGGTGCAATGTCATCATCAAAGATGTCAGGAGTATCGATCACACATACATGGAAATCATTCACTTTAGTTTCTGCCACTTGGCACTCTGAGGTGATCGGCTTGGAGCTGGGTCTAGATATGAAGCGTTTCTCTCTGAGGATGCTGTTCCCACTCGCACTCTTTCCACTCCCAGACATTCCCAAAAGGACAATGTTCCATATGGCTGGAGTGCGTCTTCCTGAATAAGTTTATAATGATGATAATGTCAGCGAAATCCCTCATTGCATTACATTCAAAATCTATAAATAATGAAAACGTAAACTCCCACAGTTGGACTAAAATACACAAAAGAGCTTATTTAACATTAGTAAATCCAGTCTTACTATTTGAAGTCTTTCTTGGATCATGAAGGACTCCTTGCTTATAACAACCGTCTGCATAATCCCTATTTAATAACCCATTTTTTAATATGAACTTCTAAAATGCTGCTTAGAAGCATTGGGGTTCACCTGCTTGTGGCTCAGTAGTGTACGGTCCAGTTTGTGATCCATAGTCAGGCCTACAATTTAATAACAGAGAAAAAATAAACCCACCTCAGCTCAAAAACTCTTTTTTGTTTTATAAACACTTATTTGTTGTTTCTAACAATATATATATAAAAAAAATCAGAGCCCCTTGTAAAATACATTACCAGAGTTTTTCATAGCATATGTGCACATGGTTAAAGAGAATATGTTTTTCATTTTTATTTAAATAAGGTAAGCCCTAATGCTAGCTCAACAGTTCTGCACTTTCAGCTTTACCTGGCATTGGTTGTTATGAGTTGTTGTGGTTCACATCTCCTTGAATTACTGCTCTGCCGGCAACCCATACTGCAGAAACTGAATGAGTGATCTGTGGGTTCATAAGTCAGAAGCAGCAAAACTCTGAACTCTTCACTTTTGCTGAAGTACATTCATTAAGTATTTTACATTTTAAATTATAAATCATAGACTGCAGGACTTGAGAGATTGTGAAAATAAAGCGTGATGTGATATGAAATCAGAAAGGTTTTCTTTCTCTTTTTATCTGCAATGCCTTTAATAACTGTCCTTTTATTTTATTGCTACAAAGCAAAGAAAAGTTTACAAGCAAAACTCACTGTGAGTGGTGGCTCTTCAATCAGGTGCAGCACAGTCTGTGCAGTGAGTGCAGACTGTGCTGCCCTCTATACCTGTCAGCTACAGGAGGTGTGTCCTCTGTGGAGCTATAAATAAAAGATGTGTTTAACAGAAGCTTTATCATTCATCCCTCTCACCTGTGCAGTGACAACAGTGACATTAAGATGGATTTGTTTCCAGCAGGTAAGACCTAAAGTTAATCTTTAGGTTGGTTTGTTACCTTGGAAAGTTTTCACTAAGGTTCTTATTACACCCTTGTGTATATGAGTTAAATCAAATTAGTCAATTGTGTTTCAGGTTCTGATTTGAGGATTGTGATGATTGGAAAAACTGGTGTGGGCAAGAGTGCTGTTGGGAACACCATCCTGGGAAACAAACGTTTCAGATCTTGCCCTTTATCTGGGTCGGTGACTGAGGTCTGTCAAAAAGGTGTGACTCAGTGGGGTAATAGAGTAGTTAGTGTTGTAGACACACCAGGGATCCTGGACACTGCAAAATCAGATGAGCTCATCAAAAGAGAAATTGTGCGTTGTGTTGAAGTCTCCTGTCCCGGTCCTCATGTGTTCCTGTTGGTCATCCAAGTGGGTCGATTCACCAAAGAAGAGAAAAACTCAGTGGAAGCCCTGCAGGAGCTGTTTGGCCCCGAGGCAAACAAGTACATGATTGTGCTCTTCACCCGTGGTGGTGATCTTGGAGGCATGACCATAGAGCAGTACGTACGTGAAGCTGAGCCTGGGCTAAAGCACATCATTGAAAGCTGTGGAAACAGGTTCCACGTCTTTGACAACACCAGCAGTGACAAAAAGCAGGTGGTGGAGCTGGTCAAGAAGATTGATAACATGATGGCAGAAAATAGAGGCACACACTACACAGACGCCATGTACAAGGAGGTGGAGGAAGCACACAGACTGGGATTGACACTGCAGCAGTATAGGTTCACTGAGCCGCTGCTTAAGCGTGTCAGACTTTTTCGTATTCTTCTTGGGAGAGATTAAACTGTTGTGATAAATAGTACACGATCTAGACTGAACTGGACAGTTTTTGTACATACACATGAAAGCATGAAATCTGTTTAGAATGACACAGTGTAGAAAGCTGTTTAGGATCATTTTATTTGAGTTATCACAAAAAATAATGAAGATATCGGTTGCTGATTGTTTGACATTGTATTAAAGTGAAATACTAATCATAATACAAGCTGTGCTTTCAAAGTGTTTCTTGTCTCTGCTTCATCTGCTCCAGCTTGTAGCGAGTTTATAATCAGGGTGGTTTGTGATATCTGAACTGAACTGTATTTTGTATTTTTGTGTGATTTTGAAATGATGAATTATGACTTCTAAGAGGAGAAGTTTGAATTTTATTTGTTTGTTTTTTTGTCTGTTTTCTGGTTGTTTAAATGAAATTATTGTGAAGAAAAATTTCCTTTGGGTTCATGATTGTTAATTGTTGCTTCAACATTGTCCATTTTGATGTTTTACCTAAATAAATAATTTAAATACATCACTGTCATCAGTCATGTCTAAGTATAAAACCCCACTTTCACAATCTGAATCAGAATCAGCTTTATTTACTAAATATATGTTTTAACATCCAGGTATTTCCACGTCACATTGCATATCCAATTTTATGTCATCTTTGTTTGTCTCATGACAGCACACAGATGGCATGATAGTGTAGCTTTGTGTTGGAAAGGATCCTGGTTAACTAAGTTGCACTGGCATAGTCTCAAGGACATCCTACTGATGTATTCTGACCTTAGACTACTCTCACCAACGGTAATACTGTCCAAATGCTTTTTTTTTAGTGTTAATTTCTTTAAATAAATGTGAGTATGAATAAAAAAATGGTTTAAATGAAATATCCACTGAAGTGAGTTCACTCCATTTATGTTTAAACAGTTTCACCTTTCACAAGAATGTACGCTGATTTTGTTGATTGTACTTTTAACAAATCCACAAAGCTTTCTCACTGTGAGTAATGGTAATGTAGAAGTTAAATTATATTTAATGGCATTCACAACGTATAATTTTCCAGAAATATATAAAAGACATATGTGGGTAAGTTGTATCGTCCTCTTCTCTCTAAACAGAACATACACTGTATAAGATCAATAAAAAATATTTGAAACCTATACTGGGGTATCCACTTGTGTCTGGAATAAAGTCTCTTACAGATAATATTTATCTGTCCATTTACGTATTTGACCAGCATTGACCCAGTTATCTTCTTTTTTGGGAAGACTGTGAGTTTTTGGATCTATGTACGTCAGTAACTTTTGTATCAGAATCAGAATCAGATTCAGAATCAGAAAGGGTTTTATTGCCAAATGTTGAGCAGGTTTACAACATTAGGAAATTGCTGCGGTGCTTCAGTGCAAACATACTGTCATAAATTACGCTTAAATAGACATGAAATAAAAATAAGAATAAGAATTAAAAGTGCTAAATAGATAAATATATACATGATATATACATGAGTGCAGGTGGTGATCAGTGCCAAACATGGAATGATGCAGTGAACACAGCGTAGGGTCATGTGTTAGTGATGGGAACAGTCATATGGTTATTGTTCATGTGTCCAACAGCAGAGGGGAAGAAACTGTTCTTATGGCGAGAGGTTCTGGTGCGAATGGACCGGAGCCTCCTGCCTGAGGGGAGCAGGTCAAACAGACTGTGTCCAGGGTGAGAAGGGTCAGCTGAGATCCGAGCTGCACGCCCCAGTGTCCTGGAGGTGTACAGGTCCTGCAGAGATGGGAGTCTGCAGCCAATCACCTTCTCAGCAGAGCGCACAACACGCTGCAGTCTCTGTTTGTCTGTTGTTACATTTCCTCTGCTTATTAATGATTTGCGTCATTGTGTTTACCACAGATTAGATCTAGAAGCTAAGCATGTCATGTTTTTATTTAGAAAACTCTGGGAAGGCCAAACCTTGACTCATGGTGTTTTTCCAGCCAGGTATGATTTTATTGCAGTGTCAGTGTGTTTGAGATCATTCTCATGAAGAGAATTAAGCCACTGCCAGTCACATTCTTTCCAGATGATATCACATTGTGCATCGAAATCTAACCTTACTTTTCTGCCTCAAAAGCTGATTCAGTATATCTGGACGTAATGTTTTCAGCGGGAGAAACGTTTCGTTACCTCCGGATGAAGTGAATTTTGGGATGCCCTTACTTGGATGAATGAGCATGCATCAAGATACTTACTTTTCTTGTTTTCAAATTTTTTATCAGATTTGACAAGATCTCCAACACCAAACCATGACAGAGCCTACACCCTGTTTTACAGATGGCTGTAAAAACTCTCTATAGTACCTCTCTCCAGAGCTCCTCGGTACATGTTGATGATTTGAACCAAAATTTTCAAATTCAGGTTAATTACTCTTTAAGACCTAATTTCTTGTTATCCGTCAGCCTTTTCTCCCAGTGTCCCTTCATTAAGAATGGCTTCTTTACAGCCACCATTCTGAGATTCTTAAGAACATCATCTATTATGAACAGTTTTTCCACTTTTTAGAAGTCAAAAGTATCGCTGTCATACTTTTCATTCAGAGAATAATCTATCTGAGGTGTTCTGGATATTTTTGTTGGACACAATGAGCCAACACGAAGTTGTGCTGTGATCTTTTAACATTTGGTCCAACACTACTTTCCTATGATTAAAATCATTAATGGGCGTTCATAGCCTCTTGAAAAGGAACAAGGATTTTGGTGAGAGGATGGAACAAATTTGACAGGAAGTTGTCACAGAAGTTGGTGATGTGAAAAAAAACTTGTAAACTGTAGGTGCAAACCCACAGACAATCTCATAATCATACAGAAAGATTCAGGAAGGTTTTCGTGAGGAAATACTTTTCTTAAAGACATGTGGTCAGAGAGAAAACCAGGAAGTTCCTTGTAACATGTAAATTTAAAAAAAAAGGCACCAAAAAGAAAACAATGCAATCATCAGCACTCAGAAAACAAATAAGCAATTATTCTATTGTTTTCAGGAGCTGGAAGAAAGATTTGTGTCTTTTAAAGTAGTTACAGTTGAAGCCACTATGACGACATTTTCTGATTTTCTAACAGAGAATCATTAGTAATCACAAAAATGTGGTTTGTGCTCAGCCAAGTCATCTTTATAAGGAGACAGAACTACATCTTCAGATGATTACTATTGCGCTCTACCATCACACATCCAGTGTGCTGATAAATTCACTGGTTGCCTTAATGCACTTTTCTACTCTATTTGAGTAGTGCTTAAAAAAAATCCTCATTCAGTAATTCATATAAGCACTTTTTTTTCTACATCTTAGTGCTTTCTAGCTAACATCTAATCTGACTTTATGCTAGTGACAGAGACTGGCCAGTTGCTTTCTGTACTTAAAATATATGTCTATGTGCTTTATTT